CATAAATTATAATTATCTGGTACTTCAAAGTATGAAATATATTCAAAGTACCTTCAAATGAACAGTGTTCATTTTTCCTTTTAAACTCGTCTGCTTTTTATAACCTAAGAAAGTTACAACATCTGATATTTTTCTTTATTTTCCCTGGCTGCCAGGAATCCCACAGTATACATGTTATGCTCAACTGCCGAAACCAACATTGGTCAGGGTTTCTTAATACATTCCTTTTACTGTCCACCTTCATATCTTGGCTCCTATCTTTTCCCATGTATCAATGGCTTTAGTTCTTATATCCCTGCACATTTATTTTAACTTGTCTACACACACACACACACACACACACACACACACACACACTTTCCAAAATCGAAAATATGAGGAGGGCTTCAAAAAGTTGGTGGAAAAAAGGAGTTAAATTATGAGTTTATTTTGGTGCACATACAAAAATTTTAAATCCATTCATAGTCTTTTTTTTTTTTCATTCATAGTCTTTTCATGACGTATTTTTCTAATGAATTTTTTTGGGGCATGAGAGATTTTTGCTGTAGGATACATGCACTCACCAGAGAGAGACAGAGTGAGACAGAGAGACAAAAAGCAAGAAATCATCCCCTCCCCCCCCAGAGGGATGGCTACATCATAATACCTTTTCCTCCATTCTCTTGGGATTTTGGGCACACAGGCACATGCACCTGGCATGAGTTTTAAGCCTCCAGGTCTGGGACTCGAACCATGGTCCACCATGTGCAAGTCCAACAGCGTTACCATTATACACCATCTGCTGGTCCCTTAATGAACTTTTTGAAGACCTCTCATGTATCTTTCAGATGTTTTCTGTGCCATCTTCATTTCAACTCTCATGTCCTTTCCAATAGTCTATTCTCACCAACCAAAACACGTAGCTCTTCTACCATTAGTGAATCCTACAAAGAATCTTCTCATGTGAAAGCATGAATTAGCAGGATAGAATTGGCAAAGATTTTATAGAGTCTTAGGAAATGCATTGCTGTTCTTTTCTCCAATCCCTTTTGGTTACCCTATCTTGAGTTTATTTTAGACTCTAACTCATGCAGTCAGCCATATGGGATCCAGCCACCTTAACCACCTCACCACCAGCTCATATCCAGTTTTCTTTTTTTATATATTTCTTTCTACCACATACAGCTATCACCCCCAAGAAAATGTTAGATAAATAAAATCCTCTCCATTTTATTCCAACTGTATCTCCATGTACACAAGCAATAGTATTGTCACGGTCTACAACCACAGTTAAAGTTAAAAAGATAGCTCCATCGATGGATAGAAAAACTAGTCTCCATGCCAACACTACCAGCCACATGACCTTGGACAATGACTTTACTATGCCTCAGTTTTCTCATATATACAATGGGGGTCATCTGGACTAGATAATCCCTTGGAAGTTCTTTCTGGGAATTAGATGTGTTGTTTCCTTAAACCACTATTTTGCAAATGTTTTCAGGCATCTGAATTCCCTTGGGTGCTTGTTAAAGCACAGATTTCTAGATCTCTGCCTGAGTTTCTGGTAGGTCTTAAATTCTACCAAGTTCAGGTGAGGCTAATGCTGATCCTCCCGGGGCCCAGGGACCACATTTTGAGAACACTAGTCTATGTGCCAGAGATTCCACAGCCCTGTAAACAGGGAAGCAATGGGAGTGGGAGGAAAGTGACTACTGCTGGTTCTTTATTTCTGTCAAAATGAGGTTCCTTCTGGAAGAGATGAGACATTAGTTCTGTTTTCCCACTGACTTTTAGGTGTTGCAGCCACACCTCAGCAACTAATTGCAGGTTGAAAGGAGGGTTGTGGTCATTTTCAGGGCCATGCTGAGACGTAACGGCTGATGGACAGCTAGGTTAACTATCTGGATAAGGATGGGAAAAGGAGTATTCCTGTAGGCAGTATGGCAGGCTGGCAGGGACTTAGAGGGTCAGGAAGGATTGAAGCAGTGGAAAGTCAATGAAAATATGATAGAAAGTCTAGATGTACCTGGAATATTAGCAGAGAGGGCATGAGCGTGAGCAGAGGAGACTACTAAACTTCTCTATTTCTCTCCCTAAATTCCCTCAAATCATTTCAATTTTTGGTCTCAACTCCCTCATTTAAGGAATGAGATATTTAGGCTCAATTGTAAGTTTTCAAATTTTGTTCATTTTGGAGAAACCCCAAGCTAGAAAACAGTGAATGAGGGGACTGAGCTCAGCCCTCCCTCCTTCCACCTCTGCTTCAGCCAGAACTGTTCTGCTTTTGTATAGTTGTATATTCTCCACACAGTTTGGCTTCCAAGAAGGATCTGAACATCACTCAACAAGGAGCTGTCAAGGCTCCTTCCATTTGCACATTAGTGGCTTAAGTAGAAGAAAGGACCTACCTAGCACAGGGAATGGACTGCTAGGTTGGTCAGACCAGATTCTGCAATAGCCCGGAAGTAGAGATGAGCATAGAACAGCTTAGATGGGAAATAGGGAGTCATTGAAGGTGTGAGAGTCCAGGAGTGCCACAGCAAAAGGAGAAGAATTGGGCCCACAAACTGCCAGAAACCGATCTGAAAATCTCAACTGCACAGAAGGTTCTGAGTAAAAACAAGGGTGATTTTCCCCCTTGTCAGCCTTCCCTCCCAGGACACTGTACTGTATGCAAAATGGGTAACTGTAAGACAAACATTTTTTTCCACTGCCCTTCTCAGCCCCACAGGCCGTCAGGAAGGCCTCAACTTCAAGCAAAGCCTTTTTATTTTTCAACACCCACAGCTTCCATTCAACAATCAAAAGTTTTCCACTTTGATCAAAGAGGCTCAAGAGAGAGGGCCGAGGTAGCAACTTGTTCTCAGCAGCTCTGGGCAAATCACAGAGCCCCTCACTGCCCACTCAGCATCTGTGCCCACCAGAGGACATGGCTTTTCTCCAAATAAGCCAGGGTCACACCCTCAAAATGTTGGCTTGCCTCCTTCCCACCTCAAATGCCAGACCAGACACAGGTGTATACACACTTCTAAAACCAGCGTCCACTGGGGATCAAGGGGATCTCTTCCTTGACTGTAAAATAGGCATACTGACCTCCACTCTGTTTAGCCCAAGAAAATAATTCTCTCTACATGTCTCTTTAATCTCTAGAAGCTAGACATGCTGTGGATTCACTGGGAAGGGTTATCCAGACCAACACCTAAAATCTGACAACTAATGATGCACAGAAGTTTTGAGTCTTTGCAAGGAGCAATGACAATGATAGAAGATCTAACTTTGGTTTTGGACATAGGACACTTCTTTCTGGGGCTCAGGGGTCTCTGCTGGCTCTCAGAGATAGGCTGCTGTCAAAAAAAGTGACCAGAGGGGGCCAGTAGATGATGTAGTGGTTACATTGCTGAACTTCCCACATGGCCCAACCGCAGTTTGAGTCCCAGATCCAATGGCTTGCAACTCACTCTGTGTGTGTGTGTGTGTGTGTGTGTGTGTGTGTGTGTGTGTGTGTATACACAACATACCAGGAGGAGAGTGGTGGAGAAGGGATTGGGGCGTGGTCATCTCCCCCGCCCCCGTGGTGGGGGGTGGTGGTGGTGATTTCTCACTTTCTGCAAGTGTCCTATAGCAAAAATCTCTCTTTAAAAAAAAAAAAAAGGGAGCAAATAGGGGAGAACCCTGCAAAGAATAGGCTACTTCTGGGTGATATGAAATGAAGCTTTCAAAGAGCCCTATCTGGAGATAGCAGTTATATAAGAATTAACATTTTAAATGATCTCTTTTTAAATGGAGATCTATGTACCCACAGATGTGACCTAGCTCTGCCCCCAGACAATCTAGCTATTTTGCCTATCCTAATTCCAGACCTGGTCCAGGGACCCACTTGGGATGACCACTCGCCATGTCTCTTTCCATTGCTAAAGTTCTCTTAGATCGTCACCCTGATCTTCACAATGAGTGCAACATACGTGAAAGAGGGGAGGGCCAAAAGGATCAAATGGACCCAAGATTGAGAAGGGAAGGGTCGAGACCAGACCTCAGGTTTTTAGCCTTCAAATGGACTGAAGGCTGAATTACTTAGTCTAGGCTTTGGAGCCATGCAGGAGTGAATATGTATTCCAGTTCTTTCTTTGATCAACATTGGCAACTTCATTTGAGACTCTGAGTCTCAATTTTCCTACCTGTAAACATAAATCTTACCTGCCTCAAAGGATGAAGCGAAGGGGGCAGTGAGGTCATCTATAAAGCTTCACTTAGCACAATGACAGTAATCACACACACACACATATACGACATAGCACACATGTTACACACAACATATACCACACAGCCTAAATGCATACCACACACATCTTACTGCAGACAGCTACCATGTGGAACGCATACCACCACACACATATACCCCACACCAGCAATACACATATACCACATTGCCCAGCATGCAGAACACACACCACCACATCCCATGCCACCCCACCTCCCTTCCCCAACCCTCACTACCAATTCCTTCCCCTTTTTATGAGTTTTGTGGCAGACCCAGTTTCATGTCTCAGTCTGACAGATCCCAAAACACTCTGTAGCAGTTTTTGTTCAAAAGATCAATGTT